GACTCATAATAATTGTCAAAAGAGGAAAATGAAATCAAAACAAAGAAACTGCTCATACTCTTGAAATAGATGTTGAGAAGCCTGAAATGAAAAACCCAGATTCAGAAACTCCCAAAGTATGAGACTTTATCACTGTATGATTGGTGCAGTCTCTGAACACCAAAAGTTGAACCTACCCAAATGGCTATATTGGAGTGTTGGAAGGAATAGCTGATATTATGTTGCAAGTTTTGCTGCGTTGACTAGAATTACAGAGTGAGAAGAACCAAGAGTTGAGAACAGAAAAAGTGTGGGAAGAGAACAAAGATTACTCAAACGTCGTCGTAGGGAATACGCGTCAAAATAGTACGTGTGTCAGAAGAACTTTGGAACATGAACCAGTTATGCCAACTACCAAATTAGGAAGAGAATTACATCTTCTTTTATCGTTGTGCAACTACTTTCACTGATAGTTTATTTACCTTAACTCCACCAAACATCTCCTGAAGATTCTTTTCCTTAATTTTTCCAAGCTTTAAACTTCAAAACTAGACTCTTCTTATTCAAAGGAAAAGATGAAATCTGACAAAAGATATACGTGTATTATTTGAAGCAAATTAAAACTACATTTGAGAAATGAATACACCAGAAATTGTTTATTTAAAAATAATTTTTAGAAAGAAAAGTCAAGTCAGTACTCAATTATTAGCCACTAATTAAACATGTTCATATATCACTTTCAACTTAGCATTATAAAACATTAAATTATACAAGAATTTAAATTATAACATTGTACAAAATTTAGATTACAAGTAATATTCTAATTATTTTTAATTATAGTCAAATCTCACTTTAACTAATCGTGTATGAAAGCGATGGAGAGGTTTTCAATTTCCAGTTGGAAAATTTATGTGATTAATTGATTTTACATTTACGAATTCATATTTTATTTTGGAGGTAGTTGAAAGGATGTTATTATAATTATGGTAGAACAGTCAACCGATGGCTTCCAATTTTCACTCATGGACTGTTTGTTTAAATAGTTTACGAAAAACGTGTCATTCTCATAATTTCTGAGATTATGTGAAATCAATTTTTTTGAAGATGTTTTGTATGATTTTTTTGTCATAACTTTGGTGCCTTAATTAAAAATAAATAAATAGTTTATAAAAACATATTGGAAATTAGGTTGCAAGTGTGAATGGCTTTATGCATCTCTTGTTGTTCACACTTCCCACTTTTTAAACTATCTTATTTTATCAATATTTGTATACTTCGTTTTATTGTTTTGAAATTTTAATTCTAAAAGATTAAAATTTGTCAATTAACTTTAAGCAAAAATTAGAATTAGTCCCTCTTCAAAAATTTTGCACTAATTTAAATAAATGTGTGAATTTAATTCTTTTAATTAAATTTTGTTAGATTTATTTGATGTTTCAAATCCGTTTCATAATAGCATTTGAATTGTTTATACTAATTTCAATTTTTAGTGAAAGTCAAGGAACTAAAAACATATTTAACTCGTTCTAAAACTACAACAAAATTTGACTTTCATCATTTCAAATTTGAAAATTAACGTTTTAAGATTACAAATATTTCACTTTTCTTTTAGTCTAAGGTAGATTTTTTTTTTATTTCCATTTAATAACATTTTAAGATTACAAATTAAAATAACAATTTTTTCTTTTTTCTTTTTTTTACGTGTAAGACCCCAATATATATAACACTCACTAGAAAATGTTATTTTGTGGAAGTTGTAAAAATTTTCACAAATTAACAAGATTTAGGATTATGGTAGATGATCTAAATGACAATTAATTTAATTTTTTTTCTTGTTTTTCATTTTTCACTGTTGGGTGAGGGTATTTGTTCATTCAGTAAACATGTCTTGGCTTTTGATTATCGCTTTGTTGCTTTCCAGTAGTGCAAAATTGTATGAGTATAATTATGATGAAGTGATCTGCCATATGCCCCCTTTCTCTCCTTCCATATGTAAATAAAAAAATTTAATGATATGTAAAAGATCTTGGTATACAACACTTAAAATAATTGGCTTCTAGAACTTGATAGAGGGTATATTAGTTTTTTAGTTCAAATTAGACTAATACTTATGCAAAAATTTAATTTAACTAAAATAACCTTAAGACGTTGAATATGTTATACCTAAATTTTATCTAAAATTAAATAATCTATTTTAGCGATGTATTATTATTACAATTCAATTCGGTCAATAGATACGAATCAATATTTTAAAAGTTACATAACATTTAATAGATAAGGGAAGATTTGATTTACTTTATGACACAATATAGAACAAAGCAGCACCCCCACAGCTATAAGTGCAAGAATTTGGATGCATATTATTATTTACTTTTATTTTTATTGTTATCATTATTATTATTTTGTTATTATTATTATTATTGTATTGTTAGCTAGAAACAAAAGAGATGGGAAGTAGCACACTACTCCACACTTCAAATTCAATTCTTCATATTATGAATTCTCCTACTTTAGCTACGGACATCATGGACCCAACTATCAACCAATCGTGGTTTCAAAATGGAATTTTTTTTTTTAACCATTGACAACTTTTTTTAAAATACATTTGTGATTGGTTCGTTTTAAATATTCTTTTAAAAATAAATTCAAATAAACCAATAAAATGATGATAAATGTTCTGTTATAAAAAATGGTTAAAATATCATGATCCTTTCAAAATACAAATAAAATCTCTCTTTTACTGGATAAGTAATCATGCAATTTTAGCTTATCGCTATGCATATCCCTCTGTTTTAATGGAAGTAAAATATTTACCTACTTCATCACCAAATGGGACCATATTGTCCATGACTGGTATGGAATATAAGTGACTTTATAATTTTAGGTGATTGAACATAATTGTCAGATATGCAAGTCAAAACCTCATTTGGGTACTCTGGTTGGATCTAAACGAGAATAAGCATGACTTAGACTAAGAATGCAAAGTCTAGTTAAATTGAAACCAATGAAGGAAGTAACTTAAATGACATTTAATAATCAACATTTGTTGATTTTTACGTTGCTTAAGATTGCTTTAATTGTTTTAAAGCTTTCTGTATTCGGTGTTGTTATTCTTGTTTGATGAGTCAAGATGATATAATTCTATTACACATTGACTTTGTTTTTAGAAAATGTTTCCTACTTTGCCTTTTCTTCTATCAGAAATTGATTATAAACGTTTTCTTACTTTCAACTTCATCGTAAATTTGTATTATTGTACTTCCATTGGTTGAACTCTATTTCTAGGATGCAATGATGTTCGAGACAGTGTCATCATCTGAACAAATTAGTTTCTAGTTGCATGATGCAGCCAAAATTTATAGTTGATTCTTATCAACATTGAAACTTGCCTAGTGGGTAGTAAGAAAATACCTTGGGATACCTGAAAATCATGTTGTTTAAGTAAACAAAACCCTAAAGCAGTGTGGCATGTTGTCTAAGTAGCTTTAAAATTGGAAAAGGATTGCTTATGATTGTGTGTTTTCTGTTATATTTCGGAATGCAATTGTCATAACAAAACACTACTTAATTTTGGATTATATCTTTGTGGTTATGGATATGTTTCATTTTATCCCATGTTACAAAGTAGATTATGCAAGCTTAATTACAAATGTCGTTTTCAAGGAAGTAGTAAGACTTTGTGGCATCCTTAAACCCACAGTGAGTGATAGGGACATAAAGTTCTTAAGTTACTTTTTGAGGACTTTACAGGGAAAGCTTGGAACTAAACTTCTATTCTCTATCACATGTCATCCCAAACTGATGGTCAAATCGATGTGGTTAATATGACTTTTATTTAAATATTGAGGCACATGATAATTTATGATTCTAGAAAGTGGGAAGATGTTCTTCCTCACATAAAGTTTGTATACAATAGGACGGTGCATTCCAGTACTTTCCACTCTCCTTTTGAGGTTGTCTTTGAGTTCAATCTCCTAACACCTCTAAATCTCTTTGTTTTATCTTAAGAATAACTCTAAGTGGTCACATACACCACTAATATTTTGTTTGTGAGCTTTAATGCCTCTTAAGTACTATCCTATTGAACTCCCTTCTTGTCTTCTATCTTTCATCTTTTATCATCTTTCTTGTTTTTTGATTATATATGTCTTCATTTCATTTTGTATATTATGATTCCTCTTATTCTTTTTTTAGTTTATTTTTTAATTGAATAGTTTATGTCAAACATTTTGAAGTGAACTTTTCAATTATTTTAATGTCTAGTTAAAATCTTTCTTGAATTTTCTTAATCACCATAAACATTATATTTACTATTTTTTAAAATGGATATTTATAAAAAAATAAAAAATAAGTATATAAATATAAATATAAAGACATAAACATAATGAATTTGAATTAAGGAATACAAAACTAACTTGAAGTTTTATATAAAAAATTATAACACAAGTTTGCAAGTATATATGGTGTAGTTTTTTTATTTTGTAATTGTTTATATTTGAAAATTTTGAGTTCATAAATGAATTTTTAATATGAAAACGGAGACTTAGACTAAAAAATAAACTCATTTAAAATTTTATAAAAAATATTACAAATAAAACAAATTTGTTGTTTTACTTATAAAACATGTTTTACTTCCCTTTTTAAAAAAAAATATTTTTTATGCGTTATTCTTAACATTTAATGAAAACAAAAGCATAAAAAATAAAATAAATAATTTATTTAAAAGTACACTAACATATTTTTATATATACTTTTCATTTATTACTTTATTTTTTAATCTCTATTGTTTTTAAAAATATAAAAATTAAGATTTTTAACAACAAAATTACTCATAAAATATAAGTTGCAAAGTAATGTAGGTCAGTAAAACATTTTTCTTTTGAAAATCCTAATGAAAATTTAAACTTATATGTGTAAATCTTTAGACATAAAGATTAAACTTACACTAACCCATCTTAATTATTACACCCTTAAGACTGAAATGAAATCAATAAAATGAAACTAATAAACTCTGATTCCAAAACATTCAAAATCAAGAAATCCTAAAATCATTTTTTCGCAGCAAAATTGATAGCCCAAAATTGATAACCCTAAAATCAAGAACGCAGCTCCCACGAAGACGGTGCTCACCCTCACAGCCATTCTTCCGCAACCAGCCGTCGCTCAGAGCCAGCCGCCGCTCAGGGCCATTCGTCAGAAGCCACCATCGCTGTCCACTCCACTCACAGTTCACAAGCACATTTTGGTTGTTTAAAGTGTTCCGTCACCGTCTTCAAAGCAGAACGGTGTGCAAGAGCAAACTTTAGCTAGATTGGAGACGAAGGGGGTGCGTCAAGTCAGGTATTTACCAACTCTACTTTCTAAGATTTTTGGGTAACGTGTGTTTAGTATTTTGTTGAATGTGTTGTGCTCTGTGGTTATTTATTAATCATCCAGTTATTTATCTATGGATGTAAAGCACGAGTCTTTCTGGATATGAAATGCTTAATTCTTATGTATATTAAAATGGTTGGAAATAGTTATGCAATCCAAAATTTCATTTTTGGATTGTGTAATGTCTGGAGCAAATTGTTATTGGTTGTTTATATCACAGTGGTGTATGGCTTCGTGCATAGTCCAACAACTGGACCCTTAATCCACCAAACAAAAAACTATTGGCCAATATTAATTTCTTCAAAAAAAAAAAAAAAGACTCAAGTTTCATGTCGTGTGCTAGCCGCTAAGTGGTTCAGCATTCTAGAGCACACCAAAAAGTTCCCTCCTCCCCCCTTATTATATTTCTCTTGTGGTTGGTTCAATGTTATGGTTCAGTAACAAATCATGTCAACTATGTTTGCTCAGATTAATTAGTCCATTCCTACTACATAACCAAAACGCAATCTGTTTATACTTTGTATTTCTTATTTCTCACTATAAACAAAAGTTTCCACTAGATACATCCCATACGTAAAATTGAATATGGAATAGTTAAATGTGATAAGCAAATTTAACTCCTAAAACTTAAATCCAATAACCAAAGTTAGTATTTTCTTGACTAAGAAAACGAGAGACGATGATAATTTGTTCATTTGATTTTTTTTTTTATGAAAGACTATTATTTATAATATATTTTCTATTGTATTTTTTCCATGTTTGTTTATTATTAATTAAAATTTGTTCGTCAAGTGAGAATTAAGATAAGTATAAATTTGTAGTTTTCAGAAGTTAATCACCATCAGAATGATAAAGCCATGAAGATTTTCAACAATAAACCATGAGCTGTGCTAGGGTCATCAACAATTTATTTTTTTATCGTTTATCATCTAAAGTTACCACTGGATTCCCTTGGATTTGTGGCTTTACAGTAAAAGAGTACATCCTTCAACGAAATCAAAGTCTAGAATAAACAATTATTTGGTAAGATTTCCGACCATATTAAAATCTCTCTCTCTCTGGAGTATCTTCAATGATCTGTTATCTACCTTTTTCTTTTTTCTTGTAAAAATGTTTTTTTTTTATGAAAATAACGCAAAGTGTTTGTTGTAAATATTGTTACAATGGATTTGTTCCTTGTCCCCCTCATACTCGATAAAATGCTCAAATGAACCACAAGTTAGGATATCTATAATGTTTCAATCATGTTTGTCTGTTGATTAGTGTTGGGAATTTAAGCATGTATGTGATATTGTGTATGCATTTTACTAATATAGTACAATTTGTTGCTGGCCATTCCTTTACTAGGACTCTCATTATATGGAGGACAGCGCACGCCAGGAGAAAGTTAGAAAGTATGAAGAATTTGTTGACAAACGCTTGAAACCCGATCTTATTCATGCTATTAGTCAACGGTATAATGTTTGCTCCTGTGCATTCTATTTAATTGTTTTGAAACAATTTGTATGAATGCTTTGTCTTACTAAATGTGTTTTTTTTTTTATCAATACCCTAAATCCTTTTAATGGGAAATTTATTTGTATATAAGCTATATAGTTAGTTCATTCTTTATATAGTAATTTAGTGTGTTTCTTCAAGGTTTTTAATGGCAAATTATGTCCTTGAAAATGGATTAAAGTAGTTTTATTGTCATGGACTACAAATTAATGTTCAATGGTATTTACCATTTTCTCATCTCTTTGGTTTCAGGGACAAGGTTTTTTGAACAACAGCAAATTTTGTATCTTTTTAGGTTCGGTGTGTGCAGATAGAATCAGTTAATAATACCTTGTAAGACTGAAACATCAACACAACAACTTTATGTATTATTCATTTCTCATAAAGTCTGCAGTAGCATTGAAAGTTCAAGTCAAGTAAATCTTAGTAGTAGGCTGAACTGAATTGGAGATTAATCTGCTTCTATGAATAACACCTAGAGGTAAAAAGCAATTTTGACGTTGTTATGTCACCTGACTTGTTCACTAGTTCTGATCTGCGAAGAAACTTGAAACCTCGAGAAGATAGTGTAACCAGTATAAGAACTTTGGTCAATCTTGGGTCTGAATATACCTGCAGCAGAAGTGTAAGTCATTAGAATTTCTTTCACAAACATTTTGTTTTTTTTAGTTTGCTAATGGGGCACCATATTTTAACACTAGTCCATATAAATCATGATCAAACATGTTTTTCAATTGCATATCTTATCTTTGGTCAGTCACTAGTCATTGACATTTTTGATATATTTCATTACAACGTCATTCATCATCGTCTTATCAACTATTCAGGATTTGTGCTACATGGGCCAACGTGGATGTAGACACCGTTCTACTGCCACTCCCCTCCTTCTTTTGGGTACAATCAATGGACAGAGATTTAAACTCTGGAAACCCCTCCCTCACTACTAGTACAGCTAGTTCATTTCATTTGTGCATTATAATTTGTGCATCTTTGTTTTTGTCTGAAGTCCATGAAATGTAAATCTCCTATATTTCATGTATTTTATTTAAACTTTACAGGCCAGATACTCAACGCATATTTGTGGATATAGGATTTGGATTCCATGTGGAGTTTACTTGGTCTGAAGCTTTGAACTACATAGAAAAAAGGGAAGAAAAGATAGCCAGGTACAAGTTTTGATTCAACATAATTTACTCAGCTGAAGCTTGAAAACCAGTCTCTTTATTTTGTTTCAGTTATTTATTATATTGAAACTTACTTTAGTCAACTCATGGTCAAGATCCATATATTTCCTGTTGACATATTCTGTATCAATATTCTCTTGAGTTTGATTCATCCATGTACATGCATTTTTCAAAAATGAACTGAAACACTTTGTTTTCTTTAGTTGTGCTTTGTTATTTCTTTGGCTAAGAGGGTAGTAAATGATTGTATTCTATACTTATGTAGGATTCTTATCTTTCATATGATTGACATTAGAAAAAATTTCTGTGGTTTTCCTTTTTAATCTCACTTCCCTTGCATGTGTTTTGGACATGGACAGGCTGAGAGCTGATGATTGATGTATGTGTAACTTAGGTTAGTGAACTTTCAGGATGGTTTGTGGGTCATAACACTAAACAAATTGTCACTAATATAAGAAAGAGAATATTGTAGTTATAAGGCTTGCATAACGTTTATAAAAATGTGTGCTTAAGCATTTTGGTGTAATTATGATATAGTACCATCAATTCTAAGTGATAAGGACACAGCTACTTGTGTGGCTTTGTTCCCTTATGCATTAGATCGTCAAAATACAAACTACAAAAGTTTTGTTAAAATCATTTATGGAAACAGTTAATAGATCCTAGTTTAAATTTAATGCGTTTAGTCCTGGAATTGTGATAAGGCCTCGAACTTTTTGATCTATTTTTTATCTTTTGGCCATGAGGGTCAAAGTTATCTTCATTTCGTTCTTCTTTGCCTATCTGTCTAAACATGGTCAGGTAGTTTTATTTTTGTTAGATATAGTGTTTAATGTTAATTAGGAAAACATAGCCTCTATTGTTAATTAGGGAAACATAGGCATTTTATATTGTGTGATATTGGTATATATTGTTTGTAAACTATCTTCTATTTACCATATTTATGTTTGGTTGTTGTCATATATACTTGTATCAGTCTCCATTATAAATATATTACACTATGTGACTTTAGATACCAGGGACATTAACCCTACACCTAGTTTTTTCTATATTCAACAATATCCTTTTCATTTTAAGGTTGAAACCTGAAAATAATGTTGCATGTTGATATTTAAGGCATGCTTATGTTGCAGGCAGATAGAAGAGTACACCCGGTTGATTGCATCAATTAAAGCCCAAATCAAGCTTGTATGTCCTTAATTCCTTTGCTTCTTATAATATATTCTTGCGTAAGTGGTGGTAATTAGTTAATTACGTACTACTTGTCAAAGCTTTCAATATTAGCTTGCATATCGTACACAGCCTAAGACCACATGAGACAGATAGGAAGCTCAAGCGTGAAGAACCCTCAAAGGGGTCTATGCCCTTGAGGCCAAACCTACATGCATGTAGGTTATGAACCAATTTTTGGGTCAACTCACTAAGCAAGGAAAAGGTACCCCCACCTCATAGGGGGTTGGCTCTAGCATGCACTGGTGCATACCAATAGAATTAACTATGGACATATAAAATGTGTAAATTACATTACCAAATATTTAATTGAAAAACAAATTGCATGGTTTTGTTTTGAATATCCAGTGGTAATGTGTTTGCTGTGCTTTAAATTTTTATTACCACTCGTTTGACTACGTTAGATATTATCAAGTTGAAGTCTACCAAGGAAATTTTATTACCACTTGTGTATTGTTCTTTGACTACGTTTGATTAATTCTCAAAATAATATTATAATCAGTTGTGAATTTAGACATAGGTTATTGTGAATTTTCCAGTCATGGGGCATAAACATATAAACAGTAGAGTCT